TTATGTGACAATTTGGTGTAATTTATGATATTATGGCTTTCTGATGTTTCCTTGATGATTATGATGATGTTGAATATGAAAATGACGTTATTTTATATATTGATTCCTATATTGATTATTATGAATCGTTTTACTCACCCTGCCTGTTTGAATGTTGCCTCCATGTGGGTAACGTGCAGATGCCCAGGTTTACTCGTGGATGTCGTCGAGGACTTTTTGGAGTTTTTGACATTTTGGTTGACTTAGAGGGTCTTGCTCTGATAGTGTAACATAGAGTTGGGATCTTTGAGTTAAACCATGTTTTATTGATTTTTTTATTTTGATTATGTTTGTGTGCAAGGAAAATTTTGGATTTTCCTTTTTGAGTTTCGCTGCCATTTGAGCAATTTTTGAGTAATTTTTGGGAAAACCCATTGTTTACGGAGCATTGACTTTGATTTGAATTATTGAGAAATGTACGCCCTTTGAGGTGAATTTTATTATGTTTAAAATATTACTCTGATAAATGTGAATGATTTGCCATTATATTTTTGGGGTAGAAAAGGGTGTTACAGATAGAACCTAGAATTTTCTAAACGCAATTTGGAAGGTGAAAATGACCAATTCTTCAACCCACATGATCATATTGCATCCAATAACCCAAATTAACATGATTAAACATATATAGGCATGCAAATAATCAAAATCATCATGAAATCAACAACAACATCAATCCAACATCAACATAAAACCCTAGTTCTCCACACATGAATTTCCTTCCCCAAAGCTAAATCTAACTATGGAACTTATCTTGGAGATGAATATGGTGAAGAAATTGAGATGGGGTTGATGATGATGATAATAAAATGATGAAATTTCCTCTTCTTCCATGAGTTTTATATTTTTCCTTTCCTATTTCTCTTTCTATTCTTCTTTTCTCTTTTTCTTCTTTTCTTCTTACTGATATCTCTCTTCCTTTCTTCTCTACTTTTCTTTCTTTCTTATCCATACAAAAATATATACATACCACACACACGTGCGCACACACACACACACACACACACATAATATAATTTAATATATAATATTATATGATGATATAAAATATCCCAATTGGAGTTTTGTCTTCCAGTACCAATTGACCAGTTATTAGTGTTACCAAAATGTACCCTCTTGTACTTATTAATATTGGTCAATCTCTTCCAATAATGATTGATCCCTTCAGAGTTTACTGGTTACTCAATTGGTCCCACCTGACAATATTTAGAGTACATAAGAACACTAATTGTTCCAACTGACAAAAGATAGAGTACATAGGAACTTAGTTGATCTTAACTGACACCCAATTGAGCATTTATGGGAATATGGTATATTATAGTTAGGAATAGAAATGTTATAAGAATCGTGCTGTTAGTTAAGAAATTATACAGGCTGTTAGTGAAGTTGTTAGTAACTCCCGTTAGTTTGAAAAGCAACTGTTACAAAGTTAGTAATAAGTGAATATTAGTTAGGATATCTAGATGGAATTTGGTTAGTGGGAATGTTGGAACTACTGGTTATTTAGAGTGACCATTTATAGTTTAATTGACAATTAGGATAGTTTGATGTTAATTCGACTATAAGATGTTTAAATTAGTTGAATTAGGAAAGTTACAGTTAAAGAGTTAATTCTTTTCACATTAATAGTTAAAAGAAAAGTTGGTTAGTTTATGCAACTGTCATGGACTTCACATGAACTGTTAAGGCTTATAATCTTAGGATTTTAAAATTGATTCATTAGGATTCTACATGAGCTGTTAAGGCTTGAAATGGACTGTTATGAAATGTAGTGTATTAGTGTAAATTGAAATGAATTGTTAGGTTTGAGTATGTGTGTGTGTGTATGCATTGATAGTGTGTATGTAATATGTTTAACCAAGGAGAATTGGTATCATTATGTTGTTATGTCTTGTGCCCAAGTTGAGTTTAGAATGTGCCTTACATAATGTTTTCTTCCTATTGGTGCAGATTTGATGTTAATGTTATATAATGGAATTTGGCTTGACTTGAAGTAGCATCATTAATGTTGGCATGACATATCATGGTATCATGAAGATCTTTTTAATGCACTTGGAGAAATGGAGAGCACAAAATGGAAGACTTTGGGGTCAAGACCAAGAGTCTAGGATCAATTGGACTTTGGTCAACTATTTGACCAAAAGTCAACTCTAGGTCAAATGTTGTAATTTTTGTGTAATTTGATTTGGACTCGTTGTGTAATGTATTTGAATGTTTTGTAATAAAATTGGACCTTTTGAATTGAATTATGACTTGATTCTCAAGAATAAACTCCTTTCCTCCAATTTTGGATTTAAATATTTGAACTCTTAAATTTGAACTTGAATCTTGATTTTGCGAAGCTATATCTTGAATTTAAAACAAATATCAAATGAACTAATATGTGAAGGTGTCCATAAATAAGCTGGTTAACAAAATTCAACTTCCCATGGTTGACTTTGACAACATCAAACTTGCAAGTAACCTCAAATTTTAATGCCATGATACAGTCAACAATGATCCAAAAATGTCATAGACCAATATTAGGGTCCAAAGAAAGATCAACCACCAGTTTTTGTGCCAAAATATGCAAGACACAACATAATGAGATGTACAAGCTTGATCCACATCTTTTTGTCATAAATAACAAAACCCTTGAATCAATGATGCTTATCTAAAAAATGCAAGTGAATGATCTTATGATAGATGACTAGGATATGAGTATGCAGATGAAATGGGCCATGAGAGAAAGGTAGGACAAATTTTTTGGTATGACACTAAGCCTCTGATGAAGATGTATTTAAGTTTTGAGCAAGTTGAGAGGAATCATATTCATCGGTTAAACAGGGAGATTAATGACGGTGAAAAAATTAGAAGTATTGAGAGGATCATTTTGTACACCTCTATTAAGGATGACAATGATGATATCCAGCACATGTGGGTTCCATTTAAACATGACAATGATGTTAGGTATATGATGTTTGCACTAGATGATATTATTATGATTGTTGTATGCTCTTAGATATGTTGTGGTGTTAAGTCTTTTTATTTGTTGTTTGTTTTGTTGTTTTAGGTGTGTTTATGTTTGTTTTGATGTAACCAAAAGTCATTATCTATATTAAATTTCAAGGTTACAAAAAATTTAACAACATAATAAATTATCATCCAGAGGTTGTTTCAATATTGGGACAACGTTTTCGTGTGTGTCCAGACTAACGTCATATACCACTTTTTTTTTTCCAATTTGTCAGTCGTGTCCATTTCGATTCTAATGCACATGCTATTGGGAAGGCCCTTTCCCTCCTTCGCATATTTTCGTCGTGCCAAATTACATTCCTTGATATGTAGGTCGATATTCCTCTTTTTCTACCACCGCGAATATGTTTATGACTTTCTAAACGTCAAATAGATGCAAGAAAGCATCACAGAGAACACTTGAACATGCCACAATGACATGGGAGCAAAGCATACGAAAGGCTTAAAACTTTCCGCAATTGCACCAACCTCTATGTAGTTTATCCCGATAGTATCCCTTTGGTCTCCCCTCATTGTGGTCAATAATCTCCTCTACACCAAAACTATATCTATGATAGTTAAATCTTGTAACCACATGTGTGCTAGCTTTGATAGCTTCCTCCTTCATAACTTTCATGCAACTTTCATTGAATAATTATCCCGATTATAACACAAAACTCCATTTTTCGCCTTTGATTGCGAACAGTGATCCTAACCTAAAATAGGTTGCTTTCACCAACATAGTTATGAGTAGGTTTCTAAGGCCTTTGAAGACACAATTTATTGATTTCACAAGATTTGCTGTCATGTGGCCCCATCGTCGACCCTCTTTAAATTATATAGTCCACTTGTTCCTTAGAATATTATCGACCCACCTTAAAGCATCCATATTTGACAATCTAATTTTCTCGCGACAATGTCTTAATGATGGCTAATTTAAAGCATGCCACACGTTCACAATTTTTTTCTTGAAGAATCTTGTCTTTGATTTTCCCACATGAAGTTTTGTACAATATGTCTAATGTAGTAGACAATGGTAGAAATAATATTTTGCCAACCATTATCAAGATTATTGTATACAGTCTCAATAGTTGCATGTCTGTCTGAAATTAAACAAAAGTTGGGTTGTGGAGCAATATGTGTTATGAGATTCTTGAGAAAGAAACTCTAACCACCACCAGTCTCACCTTCAACCAGAGCAAAAGTAATGAGAAGGATATTATTGTTGTCATCTTGTGCTACTACTATAAGTAACGTTCCCTTGTATTTCTCGTACAACCATGTTCCATAAATTTGAATAATATGTTTGCAGAACATAAAATCTTTGATGCATGGTTGATGGACTATTCTATTTCCATTAGCACAAGTTTTGTCATACGTATATGCCAACAATGGCTCCATAACTACAACAGTTCCTAGAACATATGTCTTAAGTGCCACCAAATATCGTGGAAGTTCTTTGTATGAAGCCTCCTAATTTTCGTATACCTGTTCAACAACCTTTGTTCTTGCATTCCATGCTTTCCTGTAAGAGTAAGTATAATTGTATCGTGTAACAATATAGGAGATTAAAAAAAATGCAACACATAGGTGTCAAATGAATTGTTGCCTTCTCTAAACGCAATACATATGCGCCAATTGGATCGACTTGATCTATTGTTGACATCGATTCAATTGGCTTGAGTTCTATTTTGCCAAACGCAGACGTGAATTCAATTGACTTATGCTCTTCGTAGCATTTTTTTTTTGAAATATAAGTATTTTTGAAAAATACCTAAGATATTTGAGTAATTTTCTTGAAAAGCATGATTATTATGAAAAAGAATTCAAAAAATTCAATAGAAAAACCAAAATTTTCTAAAAAAAACCAAGGGATTAAAATCGAAATTTGACAAAAATAAAATAAAATAAAATAAGTGGAGAGACACTGCGACGCGCCTGTGTTTTGTGACGGCGATATTCGTAAACTAATGTGGTCGTACCCGCCGACTTTAAGGCAAATGGCCGTAACCGGCGGCATGTTTGTCGTCGGTGCTTCGTTGTTCGGCGCCGGAGCTTATCTTTCGTACGTTAACGTTGCTCCTCAGCAGGCTCGCGTGAAAGAACGTAGTGAAGCGATGAGGAAATATCTCAGGAAGCGCCTCGGTGATTGATTCATTGGTTAGGTTTCGTCTCACGTTTCTTTCGGTTTTTAGTTTATTAATCAAGTTCAAATTTGTGAGTAAGAAAAATTGTGATTACATTTGAGGGAGAGAAAAATTTAGATAATTTTTGTTGAGAGATGCACACGTGCTGTTTGTGATTTTGTAGGTATTTTATGGAGCCACTCTAATTTCAGATGAAATAATGTAGCAACTTGTAGAGTGATACAATCTACTGTAATTTGTGTTAATTTTAGTTCCACATAAGGTTTAAATAATGGTCTCTTGGCGTAAAGACTTTTGTGATTTCGACATGTACAAGTGTTGCCACACTGATTACCTTTGTTGCCGTGTGAAACCATGCTTATTGTGGTTGTCACGGAACTAACGACAGTTTGTTTTTTAAAACCTCATAGATGTTGTTTCATAGGAGTGAGTTTTGATGGATTTTGTTGAATTAATGCAGGTCAAAAGTGCAGCAGATTGAAGTGGAATGTGATGATTTGTGAATAAGTGAAGTGGTGTTTTGAGAACCTAACTGAAGAGAATAGAGGTTTGTGTACTCATAGATATGAATTTGGCTAACTCTTCGGTGAAGGATTGTTCTACTTTGTCTCTGTGATTTATTTTAGAGTATGATTGATTTCTAGTTTAGAAGAGGCAAAAGCAATTCTAGAGGCATAAAATTGATTTTGAGATAATATTTTTTTAAGTAGAATTGATTTTGCTTTTAGAATTGATTCTTGTTGAAGATAGAATTTGTATATTTTGAGTTTAAACGTGATTTTTGCATTGAAATTTATTGTTTAATCACTTTTACGTAAGTGTATCCGAATATAAATTACTTTACAATTACATTCAACTTACTTTTAACCTGCATCAATTCTGCAATGTTAATTCACTCTGAATCAATTCTTGTCGAAGAACCAAACACACTCTTAGTTAAACTTTAGGTGTAAACACTAGTAGGGTATGGTTTCATATGCTGAAAACTGAAAAGTATCCTGAGTATTTGTTATTTATTTATTTTTTTGATTGAAAGACATATCATTAGCAAAACGAAATCAGATTGCCTGACATAGGCAATCTCAGCATTCACGTAGTCGGTTTCGGTGGCTGTTGAATTGAATTAGATGGTTTAAATTTCAATGCAAATCTGATTTTTTTTAAAAAATAAATCAAATTATCAAGTTTGAAATCTGGATCTTCTGGTCTCGTCTCGATCCCATCGGCCACCAATATGTTGATGGTGTGAATGTGGAGATTACTGACTACCTGCAACCTGAATCTATGATGTTGATATAAACTCCCAAAGAGAGCCTTAGTTTCTGGAAGGTGGAGACTTTGAATGTGTATGTGAATGATTTTTCAGTTTTGATAAGATTTTCCGTTACGATTCTGCAACTCATTGTCTTCTAACCTTTACCTAATCTTAATTGAATCTGGATTTTGAGAACATTGGTTTAAACATTTCTTCTTTAACCATTTGTTCATCTTCACTAGGTAGCTCGTGGAAGAAAACATATATTTTTAACTACCTTCAGCATATATTACAGGAGAAAAGACTATCTTGATTTTACCAATATTTTGATCTCCTCCAAGACTACTACCATACCTATTGCCAAATGAAATACGCAGCTACCGCGCGACAAGACATGTTTAACAGCAGGTGAGATATGAACACAAAAAGAGAAGTTTATAGTTAAAATCTGCTTATGATGTTGGCCATCTAGATTGCTTGAGTTTCACTGTCCCGATTTTAGTAGATATAAAAGATGATCTAGCTAGCTTGAGTTTTACTTCTGTATATTCTTACCCTCTTGTCTCTGGCTCTCAGCTAACTTTGAGTTTATACTTATGAAACATTGACACAGACACTTGACATGTCGACACCCATATTAATTTGAAGAAAAACAAAACGTAATCACATGTATCGGTGTCGGATACCGACACATATTGGACATCAAACACACCTTTATTTATGCCTTTTGTATTTTTCTCTGTTGTGTGCTAGCTTGTAGATAAACTAAGCAAACAATGAGTCAAATTTCTACAGCCCTTAGATTGGTACCACCACTAGTGTCCATGCCATGCACTCTTCTTTTTTCCTTTTTCCTTCAGCAATTGTTTAAGTGTCAGCACACTGGTCCAATACCAATTCAATTCTCATCAAATTCACTATTATTGCAACATAATTCTCCCTCTGTCATCAACTATTATTGCAACATAATTCTTCCTCTGTCATCAACAACTTCTTCCTCATTTGCTTTCTTGTCGTCATTACTTCCCTCCTCATCTAGAATTAACTATCAGCTAGTTGATGGTTGCACATGTACTTTGCACACAAAAATATTTAAAATAATATTTTATTAAAAATATTTAAACTGATTATTGATTTAAATAATTTTTTAAACGAAAGAATATAATATTATAAAAATAATTAAAAAAAAAACCTAAAACAAGTAGGCCTTAAATTGAACCACCATAATAAACTAATAATCCAAAAAAAAATAAAATTCAATAAAGCAAACAACAAAGAAACCATATTTTTTGTCATCCATATCTAATGATCTTAATTTGTTTTCTTAGAAATCTTATTTGAATAATTTTTTAATTACATGTTTGGTCGTTTAAACGCTTTGATGCACATAGAGTTTGTCTTGATTGTCTTATAAAAGAAAAAGTGTTTCCCTTAATTGTTGATTAACCGATGCCATCTCCTTCTTTTGGTCTACTTATACCCCTTCGTACAATCACTAGTTTTCTCCATCATTTCAACTTTATAACCCAAATGTTGGGTGCTTGGGGCAACAAGTCATCAAGCCCATATAAATTGTTACACGGCCTTTCCGAAAAAAGTTCACTAAAAAAAAATGGGAATGATCACCCAAATAGCAAACGATGAATCATAGGTATTGTTCACTACACCCGAAATAATGATCACATATCTTATGGAAATTAGAAAGGGATATTCGTTTGGCCTGGATTTCAAAATTTAGACGCGTCTATTATACACCATATAACTTCATCATAGTGACACCTTATTTTTGTCAACAAAAAAAACCTTGCATGCATATTTTCTTCCTTTTCTTACAATATGAAAAAAAAATATAATTTTGAATTCAAATCATAACCCCATGATAGTATTTTACACCATTTGACAGAAATTTAGAAGAAATTTGACATTCTTTAAATAAAGCTTACATTATATTTATTTATAAATCAATCCCCACAATAAATCATGTACATTTGCCATTCAATAAATCATGCACATCTAAATGCCAAAATCTAAAAAATGCCAAAATGTCATAAATAATCCAACAACAAACCATAATATAAAATGTTAAAATAGATAAAGTAAAAGACAACCTTGTTAAATATAATTCATTGTGATTTGATATGATTAGATTTGATATCATACGATTAAATTTGATATCATATGATTAGATTTGATTTAGAATATTTTGGGCCTTTTATGTTTTGGGCTAGTGTAAACCTAAAACTATAAATAGGGTGCTTTGCTTTGTATTCTACATCACAACAGAACAGATTTCACAGTTGCAGTTAGCAAGTGAAAGTTCAATAAAAAATCCCACAGTTGTGGGTAACACATTCTCTCCAAATACTTCTTCTCTCATTCTTCTCTTTCTTGTTTGTTATTCTTCTTCTCTTTTGTTGTTCTTGATAATTACTTGTTATTACCATCATTATCATATTGTGGGTTTGTTCATCAATCTTGAGATCAAGATTGAAGGGAATTCTTCATAGGGTGTGAGGTGAATTTCCAACATCTGGTATCTAGAGCTCCGGTTAAGAGATTCAAGGAAGGAAGATAGTGATGGCGATGAACTATCCAAACGACAACTTTCCGGCGACCCTGCCAATTCTCAAGAAAGACAATTATGAGAATTGGTGCAAGCAGGTTAAGGTGATCTTCTGTTATCAAGATCTTTGGGATCTTGTGAAGGACGAAGTAACATCGCTGGTGGAGAACGCAACGGAGGCGGAAAAGGCTGCGCACAAAGAATTGAAGAAGAAGGATTATAAAACACTCTTTATAATTCATCAGTGTGTTGATCCTGATAACTTTGAAAAGGTTAGTGATGTTGATTCAGTAAAAGAAGCATGGGAGATTCTTGAAAAGTCGTTTGGAGGCGCAGAGAAGGTGAAAGAGGTGAGGTTACAAACTCACAAGAGAACCTATGAGTTGCTTCAGATGGAAGACAACGAAAGCATTACAGATTTCTTCACCAGAGTTACAAGGTTAGTGAATCAAATCAAAGTATGTGGAGAAACGTTGACGACGAAAGCAGTTGTCTCAAAGATTTTGAGATCGTTGGCTCCAAAATTCGACCACGTGGTAGTTGCCATAGAAGAGTCAAAAGATCTGTCAGTGTTGACGAAGGAAGAGCTTCAAGGGACTCTTGAGTCTCATGAACAGAGGATGGCTGAGAGAGCTGCAGGAAAGTCGAAAGATATGGCTTTGCAGGCACAGACGGAAAAGGAGAGAAAAGGCAAAGGTAGCTGGAATGGCAACAAAGGAGGAAACCAGTCGAATCAAAAGAAACCTTGGAACTAAGGCAACCAAAGAGGTGGTGCTGCAGGTAAAGGAAGAGGTGGTGATCGAAAGACAGACAAAAGCCACATTCAATGTTTCAATTGCCAGAAGTATGGTCATTATGTTAGTGATTGTCCAAAAAAGAAGAGAAATCAAGAGACTGATGCAAAGCTGGCGAAACATGAAGAAGAAGAAACGTTGCCAATGGTCACAACAAACGATGAAGAAAGATTCCAAGATCAGTGGTACTTGGACTCAGGATGCTCATCACACATGACTAGAAGAAAATATTGGTTTGTCAACATGAAGCCCTCGTCGAAGAATACAGTGAAGTTTGCAAATGACAACACTCTAGCAGCTGAAGGTGTTGGTGATGTTCTGATTATGAGGAAAGATGGCAAAAGGTCAACAATTTCCAATGTGTTGTACATACCAGGCATGAAGAGTAATTTGC